GATATGACTTATATAATACTGTACATATATATATGTATGTGTGTATAGCATATATATATATATAATTATAAGTTAACACATATTATACAAATATACATTTAGAGTGAAAAAAAATTTTAATGACTCCGAGAATCAAATCCACATCCTTCGGATTGCTGGTAGGGTACCCTATCGATTGTGCTACGTAGCAGATGATCTTATCTCTGTTTTTACTTCTTATGGATACCAATCGAGAAACTTGTAAATTGGAAAATTATTATAATATTTTTAAATAGCAAGACTTTTAAGAAAATATTTATGTATGGAATAGTTTAAATTTAGCTTCCATCGAAGCTTATTTCAGTAAAATCTATGGTACATCTTTTCCTACTAACAAGAGTTTTGATTTTTTCCTAATTTCTGTATCCGCGAAAAATGTGAAAGGTGAAGTCAATAAAATTCTACATAAATATTAAAATACCTTTCTGTTCAAGTTGACGAAAATAAACACTTTTTTAGACATTAATACTAACACTTATTTATGAAATTTACTTAATACGTTAATGCATTGCAACTAATTTACTAACATATAAATTTGTTACAGGAAAGATCAATTTTTTAAATAAAATTTTTAGCCTAAATGCGGTAAAACGCTTGATAGCCTTAGTTTATTATTCATAAAATTCAGGTATAAATGGAAATATTTAATTAAATTGAGTAATAAAAAATTGTTTATGATTTATATTTTTTACTTTGAAGTCGTCAATCTACATACAAAAAATACGTTTCATCAGAATTAAAAATATTGATGTGGTATAAATAACAAAAAAACGAAATTTAATTTTTTTTGCTAAAATTAAACAAAGTATATAATATAAAATTATACTATAAGAATACTTAATCGTGGTTTCTGATTTTACTGCGTTTATACATATACCACAAACGTTTTGGTTTTTTAAAAATGATTACAACAATGTATCCAGATACATACTATAAAACATTTAACACTATTTTAGATAGCTGACTTGTTTCATAAACTGAGATATTCTAATAAGTTTTGAATTTTTTTTTAATAAAAGTCCATTTGGAATAACCTTTTTCAACCACATTACTGAAAACACGTTTTCTAAGCAATCTTGAGACAGTTGAAAAGGAGGAAAAAGTTATACTGTTATCAAGTAAACATTTTTATAGATCTAAGACAGTTTTTGTTAACACAATTAATCCTGTTTAAAACGGTTGTGATTTTCGTTGAGCTCCAACATTTTGGTTCGTAAATAACTCAATGGTTTTGTTTAAATCAAGACTGTTCCGAAAAACTTCTCGAGATTCGTAAGGCTTAAAGCATGCTCAATATTTCTGATGCACATAGTTGTGAACTATTTAGACAAATCATTCACAAATAATGCTGTAGTGAGTCGCGAATCATTTTTATCACGTGCTAAGGATTCGATAGCAGATCCAACGGCTTCACTAAAAATTTTTTTAGCAATTACTTTTTTTTCAAAGCTGTTAGATTCACCCAGCGCAGACCTCGAAGAGGATCAGTGATTCCTGGTTGAATACTTAGAGCCGAGAGGGTTATATAGGGTTGTCGGTCGCCGGGGTTCCCAGCCTTGCGACAAACATCTCCGCTCGTGACGTCTCCCAGTGAATGACTGACTTGGTTTAATGTTGGTTGGCTTTATACAGTTTTT